AAAAAAAAAAAAAAAAAAAAAAAGATGAAGAAATAAGCAAACAAAATTATTAAAATTTCCCATCTTTCAGGTAGGAATCAGTAAGACAGAAACTTTAAGTAGTTACATTGCAAATTTCAAGTAAGAAACATTAACCACAGAAGAAACTCTAGCCACCCATATATTCCCATGGAAGAGTCCTACCAAAGAGATGCTACTGTATACTAGCTATATAAACTCATACAAGTTGCCAAATTCCTATTTCCGTGTTATTTATACTTTTGGGGGGGGGGTTCATCTATTTGTAATATAGCAACATTCTTTTACCACATTCTGCATTCTACCCTGGGATCTCCCAACATCCTAACTGACTTTTGAAAATAAATTTTCACACATTAAATTTCATTCTTTTATGTTATAAAGTTTTATACATAGTATTTGGACAAAAATACATTTTCATGTTTGTACCATCACTACACATTACAAAATGCTTTCTCTGACCTTATAAATTGCTTTACCTATTCAACTGTCCTGTACCTCCCCACAAACTCCTGGTAACCACTAATCTTGATGTTTCAAAGCAAATATCATGAGAAAAACAGAGTAAGCTTAGATGTTCACTTATTCAACCAATATTTACTTAGCCTTTAGCAAGCCCAACCACTGTACCACACACCAAAGCTAACAGTATGCCAAGATGCATAAACATCTATAGAACTACAACAGAGTGAGTATAAAAAGAGAAAACCTGCTCACAGAATAAGTAACAAAGAGATCTGACCTAGTAAAGAGTGTGATCAATTAAAATAATAAAAACTGAAAAGGTAAGGATAAGGAAAAACACGTAAAGCATAAGAAATATGATGTCAAAAGTTCCAAGACAAATGTAGCATGTTTTAGAAATGATCAGTAGACAGGTCAACTACCACTAAATCTAAAAATTGCAAGGGAAAAAAGACTAGATAATACTGATGACATAATCCAAGACTGGGTCTTATAGGGCACGGTAATAATTATGGATTTTGTCAGTCATGGTGGTGCCTGGCACCACCTGGGATGCCAAAATGTGGGAAGCTGAGGTAAGAGAATCTCAAGCTCAAGCCCAGCCTAGGCTACTTTGCCAAACCCTGCCTCAAGATAAAAAATAAAAAAGGGGGCTGGGAATGAGTACAGTGTGAAGGTCCTAGGTTCAATTCTCAGTGCTGTAAAATAATTTTTAAAAATCAAAAAGATTTATTCTAAGATCAATGGTAAGGGAGTAACATAATCAGTTTTTAAAATTCACTATTTTGGCTCTTGTTGGGGAAAATAATGAGCTTAGTGATTCTCAAAGTGTGACCTAAGGATCTCAAGATACAGGGGAACTATTTAGTCAAAACTATTTTTGGGCCAGGGATTTATCTCAATGGCACCACGCCTACCTCGCAAGTGCAAGGTCCTGAGTTCGATCCCCAGTACCCCCCCCCAAAAAAAGACTTATTATTTTCATTTTTTACTTTTGTCTTATCATGATCATACAGTGGAGTTACTCTGCGAATATATGACATATTTTGAAGTCACTGTTTTCATAGCTACTAGAATGTATGCTTCTATATTTTTGTGTTAGAAATGGTCCTTAGTTTTAACTTCTAAAAGAGTAAATATTCTACTAAAGACCATTTCTATCAACAAAAGCTCTTTTGAGTCCTCAAAAAAATTACACACACACACACACACACACGGGATTGAACCCAGGTCTTTCACATGTGAAACAAGTCCTCTACCACTGAACTGTATCTCTAGCTCTTTTCAAAACTGTTCTTATTTTGAGACAGAGTCTTACTAAGTTGCCCAGGCTGGTCCTGAACTTGCAAACCTCCTGCCTCAGGCTTTCAAGTAGGTAAGATTATAAATTTGTACCACACAGTGATCATCTGCAAACATTTAACAATGTAAAGCAGTACAGAAATAAAAGTTTGAGGACTACCAAAATATGTTAGGAATCTTTATATCTGAGACCAATATGATGATGATTTGAATGAACATGGTGGGAGTGAAGCTTGAAAAACAGTTTCAGCATACTGAGGTAGAGCTGACAGAATCCGGCGGTGGATAAGATACATACGAATAAAAGGGTAGGATTCAAATGATTCTTGGGCTTTAGGTTTAAGGAACTGCAGAGGTAGTGCCAGTCTTTAAGGCAAAGAACCTAAAGAATCAGGTCTGTCTGAAGAATATGGGCTTGTGCTCCATTTTGTATATGTCAAGTCTGAGGAGCTCATTAAATGAACCTCTACAGCCAAGAGGAGCAGATGAAAATTTGAGTTATCAACCACGGAAGTAATGAGACTACCCAAGCAGCATGTGCACTGTAAAGAGATAGACTTTGAGATATTACATTATTTAAAGGCTAAAAGAGTATGAACTAGCATTGGAAATTTAAGACAGACTGGCCAAAGAGATAGGGGGAAAAAATGATGAAAGCAAGAGGCAGAGATATTATAAGGAGGGAGATTTATTGAGATGAAGACCAAAGAGATCTGGTAGATTTTGTGATGGAGCTGACTACATGGCAACATTATTTTTCAGCAGAATGCTGGGAGTAGAAGAAAAACTGAAGTACTTAAAGAATCGGTAAGAAGCAAAGAAGACAGAAGTATAGCTAAATTTCTAAAAAGTTTTGAAAACATAAGACTATATTTAAATTCATAGAATCCAATGAAGAGAAAGACTGAAATACAAGAATAAGACAGGATTATTTATTTATTTATTTTTGGCGCTGGGGATTGAACTCAGGACCTTGTGCTTACAAGGCAGGCAGTGGAACCACTGAGCTAAATCCCTGGCCTTGGGATTATTTATTTTATTTTTATTTATTTATTTTTTGGTACCAGGGATTGAACTCGGGTCCTTGCGCTTGCACAGCAGGCGGCGAAACCGCTGAGCTAAATCCCCGGCCCGGGATTATTTATTTTTAATAAGAGTTGAGATATGACAGGCAGGAAGTACTAAAGGCCACAAGATCTTGGCTTAGTTGGGTATGGTGACACACACCTGTAATCCCAGAATTCAGGAGGATAAGGTAAGAGGATCACTGAGTAAGGCAAGAGGATAAGGCAAGAGGATCAACCTAGGCTATATAGTGAGTTCATGGCTAGCATGAACTAGAGCGAGACCCTGTCTGAAAACAAAAAAATTCTGACCTCATTTTATGCCATATACAGTGGACCCTAGAGTTACAACTAGCCTGACATATGAACAACTTGGGTTATAACGGAATTTTAGTTTTAACTTACGACCAAAGTCTTGAGTTAGGACCTGAATGCCAGCCACTTGTGCTTCTAGATGGTCTCAGATACAGATTTAACCCTTAAAGAGTTCTCGGAAGGAACATTACAACATCCTTTCCTGTGTGGGGTTAACTGAGAAATCCTGGGCCAGTGTCTGTCCAAGGACACTGAGATCTGCCTGTATACAGCAGAAAGACTTTGAAGGCTGTGTAGCGAAGCCTGAATCCTCAACTGACCAACATGAGTTACAACCAGCCCTCAGGAATGAATTGAGTTCATAACTCAAGGGTCCACTGTAAATGTATAAAACCATTTAAATCTTATAGATTTTTTTTTTCAGTTTGAAAGCACCAACACACAAACTTTACTACAAAAAAAGAAATTTTAGCTAGCGTGGTGACTCACGCCTGTAAGCCCAACACTCAGGAGGCTGAGGTCTGCCTCAGCCACAGAAGGATTGTCATGAGTTCAAGGCTAGGTTGGGCTACAGAGTGAAATCAAGGCCAGCATGAGACACACTGCAAGACCTTGTGTCCAAAAAAAGGGAAAGATATTTTAACATATATTGTAAATAATATTTTTAAGACATTAAAAATACACATATACACATTTTGCAGTGCTAGGGATTCAATCTAGAGCCTTATACATACTAGGTAGCACTCTAGTACACATCCAATTCACTATAATTATTTAAGGAAGATAAATCCAGTATTAGCTAAAATTTTGGGACAAAGAATCACCTACCCTTGGTCCTCTTCCTTTAATTTTCCTGCCAGATCTAGTAACTAAGAGTCGTCTCTGGTACGAAGCAGGCTGGGAGTTAGGCACATTACTAGGAAAAAGCAAAGGAAAAGTTAAATAATGCTACTATTATGAAAATGAATCCGGAGATACACCTGTACTGGTCTTAATTTAAAATTCTAAACCTAACAGTGGGTCTTAACATGCTATCAGGTCCTAGGAAGTATCTCGAAAAGCATGAGGGGCTTTCTTTTTTTTAAAGTCAACAACTACAAAGTGTTACTTGTAGTCAGTACCCTAGAGCCAGAAATGATTGGGAAATGGGAAGAAAATGTTCAAATGAGAAGGGGAATAAGGGAGGAAGGGGGAAAGGAAAGAAACGACAAGAAAAAAAGGAATAAACGGAAATAAAGCTTTTGTATATAAGGAGGAGAAGAAGGGTAGAAGGGAGGGAAGGGGAATGGGAAAAATAAAAACAAGCAAGATATATCATGTAAGGTAAAAATTCCCTATGGTGAATGTTATCATTATGTATATCTAAAATGTACTAATAAATGTTTTGCTTTAAAAAAATAAAGTGTTACTTGTAGTCAGTACCCAAGAGTCAGAAATGTGGGGCTGGGGATATAGCTCAAGTGGTTTCGCTGCTTGCTGTGCAAGCGCAAGGACCAGAGTTCGATCCCCGGTACCAAAAAAAAAGTCAGAAATGTTAGAATCTTATAAGGTGTCAAAATGGACTATTCTGCCCCAAAATGGCAGTCAGGCCCTAAGAAACCCTGGTAAGTACTCATTATTAAGATAAAGCTGCTGCCCATCCATCGGCCCCGCCCACCAGCCCTCTTCTTCTGGCCCCACAGCGCCTCAGCCTGCGCTGCGCCTCCAGGCCAGAGGCGTCGCTATGGCTATGCCAACCCGACCACTGCGCTCCACATGGACACAGCGGGCCCTTGAGGGGGGGGGGCAGGGCGGCGGGCGGGAGGCGAGGCGGGGGACGGTGTCGTCAAGGTATAGGCTGGGCTGTGGCAGCGGCCGAGCGGTGGTCTTTGCGCCATGGCGGCAGGGTCCGTGTTATGCTGCCTGCGATGCTGCAGAGACGGCGGGACCGGCCACATTCCTCTGAAGGAGATGCCGGCCATGCAGCTGGACAAGCAGCACATGGGAACTGATGTTGTCATTGTAAAAAATGTAAGAAGAATATGTGGAACAGGAGGTTGTTTAGCCAATGCACCTGTACGTCAAAACAAAAGCTATTTTGAATTCAAAATCCAATCCACAGGAATCTGGGGTATTGGTGTTGCAACTCAGAAGGTTAATCTGAATCAGATTCCTCTTGGCCAAGACATGCATAGTCTTGTAATGAGAAATGATGGAGCCCTGTATCACAACGAAGAGAAAGATAGGCTACCAGCGAACAACCTTCCATAGGAGGGAGACGTGGTGGGTATTACATATGACCATGTAGAGTTAAATGTATATTTGAATGGAAAAAACTTGCATTGTCCAGCATCAGGTATATGAGGGACAGTGTATCCAGTTGTTTATGTTGATGACAGTGCAATTTTGGATTGCCAGTTCAGTGAATTTTATCATACTCCTCCACCTGGTTTTGAAAAAATACTATTTGAACAGCAGATCTTTTGAATGTATTTGTTTTTGAGCCTTCTATTTCTGCACTGTTAAAAGTGTTTACCATTTAATAAAGCTTTACTTGATCTATAGATTAAAAAAAAGAAAAAGCTGCCAGGGATTTAGCTCAGTGGTTCCGCCGCCTGCCTCGCAAGTGGAAAGACCCGAGTTCCATCCCGGGTACCAAAAAAAAAAAAAGATAAAGCTAATTTAGTAGTGCTAAGGAAAATCAACCCGGAAGAGCTCAGAAGGAGCTAAGAGTACAATCTTAGAACTTATTCCGAAGAACCTCATCCCTGTAAGCAGTTGTTCATAGGTAAGAGAAGTAAAGATATGTAAATACTGTGAATAATGCATAGATAAGCTGGTCTTAATTAGCAAATTTTTTCTGGGTGGGAGGTACTGGGGATCGAACTCAGGACCTTGCATTTTCGAGGCAGGTGGCAGCACCACTGAGCTAAATCCCCAGCCCAATTAGCCAAATTTTTATACCATGTTTTATATAAAAAAGTAAAATTGTGGTCAAATAACAGTTTAGCCATTAACAATACTTATGTAAATAATATTTGAAAAGTTCATTAAAGTGTAGTTCACTAAACAGTCGTCCAAATATTTCCCTTTAATCTTTATTAGAAACAGCTTTTTCCATACTACCAGAAAAATAAACTCAATCCAACAAAATTACCCAACGTTTCAAATAATTATTTTTTATATTTTTATTGTACTGTAAATAATAATTTTATTATTTATATGTTATAACAATATACTTGTGATCATATGTAAGAATTACTTTTAATTTTTAAATTTTGGACATAATCATTAAAATGACTCTTAGGGAATCAATACATCTACTGATATTAATAATGTAGATTTAAGTAGAAAAATATTCAAAGTATTTAACATGCTATCTACTTTCATTACTACAATATTGCAAATCAGGTAAGGAAAACAGGACTTTTTCCTATTATATAAATTTTTTAAATGGTTCTCACTTCCTTCTATTAAAAAAAGATTTCACACGTGCAAGGTCCTGAGATTGATCCCTGGTACGAAAAAAAAAGATTTCAATCTTGGGATCAGGACATTGATTAAATCTTACCTAAAATAAGTACAAAAGTTTTGAAGAACATTCTATGCTAAGTGTACAGGACACTACAAAATACACACATTCACATACCACTCTCTCTCTCTTTCTCTCTCTCTGTTTTTCCGTTCCTTGTCATCAGCTTTAGGAGGACTTTTTCTCATGAGGAATCTATTTTCTGGTATAGGAGGGATCTCTTCTGGACGGACAGTAGACTGGGGTTGTGCTTCAAGATTTTCAGCTTCACTTTCACTAGATGCACTTAATGCACAGAAAGTACAAAATAAGTTATTACGTACCTATCCTATATTTCCAATTGTGTTATTTCTTTATATCACTACACACACACACACACACACACACGCACACCACCCAATCCTTCCCAAAGATGTGATCATGTGGGGAAAATCTTCCTCCAGTCCTCTGACAAATCAAATAACCAATAAAAAATCTAGACAAAATATGCTGCCACACTCACAAATATTTTTTCCATAAAATGGAAAAATGTAGGCAACAGATTCTACTAAATTTAAAATACAGGTAAAGAAATTAGTTCCTTTTGAGACAACAGGCAGTTAAAAATTTTAGCAGATTATTTCAAGGAAAATGGAAAAGAAAGTAAATGTACAGTCATTATTTGCTTTCTACACTTGTGCTATTGGTTAAGAGCAAAGAAAACATAATCCTAGCTACTTGCAAAGCTAAGGCAGAAAGGATCACAAACTCTAGGCTGGTCTGCATAACTGAGACCCCATGTCAAAAAAACCCCACAAAAAAACAAACAAAAAAACCCCACCAAAAAAACCAATAAACAAAACTCAAGGAAAAAAAGCTAACATTTTATTGAGTGAATAAAAAATGGAGAGGTTTCATTAAAAATGTAAATTAGAGCTGGGGATTTAGCTCAGTGGTTCCAGCGCCTGCCTCGAGAGTGCAAGGTCCCAAGTTCAATCCCCGGTACCAAAAAAAGGGAAATTAATGGGGATGAGGATGATTTAGCTCAGTGGTTCTGCCGCCTGCCTTGCAAGTGCAAGGTTCTGAGTTCAATCCTTGGTACCAAAAAAAATACCCAAATTTAATTTATTGACTGCACAATAAAAAATTAGTCCTCTATTTTATTAAAATACTTTTTTAGTAGTTCCACATAATTGATTCAAAAGTAAAAACCTTTTCTTGCTTTTCTTTCTCTTCTTCTTTTCTTTCTTATGTTTCCGGGAATTTTTTCTATGTTTCTTTTTTCTTTTTTTTGATTTCTCTTCAGAAACACTTTCAGAATCAGAAGACTCAGAAGAGGACTGAGAATCACTTGAGCTATCTGAATCACTGGATGATGAAGAGGAAGAGGATGATGATTTATGCCTTTTCTTTTCTTCTTTTTTAACTTTAATAAAAACAAGAAGGTTTGAGTCAGCAATTTTTAGACACACCTTGTAAGCAGAAATTTAAATATTCTACAGATTTTCACTAAGTCCACTATTTAATATTTATCTCATCTACCTATTTGAACTCAGGGCAAAGAAAAGGAATCAAGACTCAGGACTGGCATCCAAATCTTCAGATTTGTGGGTCAAAATTGCATCTACTGAGTCAAAGAATTTTTGAAAAGTACTTAGTTTGAAATGTAAACCAAGTTAACTTTAAGGGACATTTGAGTAAAAAAGTTTCAAAGAAGCAGAATAACATTTAAGCCTCCCAGATTCTACTTTTTCTTTAGTTTCTCACATTTTCTCTAAGTATCAACACTGGAAGTAGAACTAACTATATAGGGTGATAACAGAAAAGTACTATGCCTGAACATGGAAAGATAAAAATATGCTTTCACTAGCATGAGCTTATGTTTCAATGCCCGAGTATTGTCTAATGACTAAGGAATATAACTATAGTTGAAGTACAAATTCCTAACAGAAGGAAGTCATTTGGCCATAATGAATAAGCATGTTTTGGGATCTCCACAAAAAGTTACTTCAAACTGAAATTTTATTTTGGGCTAAGGAAGTAATGTTTAAAAGGGCTCCCAAACTTAAATCCATCGAAGTCAGGCACTTAATATAAGTGAAGAACAAGATGTATGACATGAAAGATGGAGAAAGATGTAACAAATTATGTAGAGCTGGATTCATCTAAAGCTATGCTAATTCAAACCACAGTGGATATGAAGAGGCTACTTCAGGACAAAGATAAGACAACACAGACATATAACTGATAACTACAATAAAATGGAATACATCAAATATATTGAAATCAAAATATAAAGTATTTGTCCTGCCTTTCCTATGTGAACTACATCAGTGACTACTCAAAAACAGTAGACAAAGGCAAGTTCCTCTTTATCAGAAATATTCCCAGAGTGAAGAAGAAATTATTGTTAGAACATCATCATTTCACAACCTGTAATGAGGCAATGAACACCAACGGCTATTGTGGTGCACAAAGACAACCTCCCCTGCATGACTCCTAATCCCATCAAGAGGGATAAAGGGGGGAAAAAAGGCTGCACCTGATCAGTTCTCTAGGTCTATTTAAGTTATGTGAAATAGAAGCACAGAGAGAACACATAAAATTGTACAACAAGAGATCAATTAGTAAAATCTAAGATATGCAATGGGAAACAGTACATGACAAAATGACCTACTTTCATTAACTATACATTTTAAGAAGAAAAAAAGAAGCTAGTGGGAGAACCTATTAAAAAACAAACAGCTGGGCATGGCTGCATATACCTGTAATCCTAGCTACTCAGGAGGGCTGAGGCAGGAGGATCACAAGTTCGAGGCCACCCTAGTTAACCTAGGGAGACTGTCTTAAAAAATGTTTTAAATAGATGGGGATGTACCTTGGTGGTAAAGCCCTTACCTATCTATGTAGCATATATGAAGCCCTGAGGTCAGTACCAAATAAATACGGTTTTTGAGACAGGGTCTCAATATGCCTGATACCACGCCCAATTTAAATAAATTAACCAAAAGTGATTCATAAGACCATTCTCAATATTTGAATTTTATTTGGATCCAGATTCACACAACAAAAACACTAACATTAATAAAACAATTAGAAGTCTGAACATTAAACTTTATTACTCCTTTAGTTAACTCTATGTGATTACTGTTAAATTCTATCATTAGTGGAAGTATAGTAGATATTTGCTGTATGTCAGTATTTGGGGGTCTGAGTATTTATATTATAATTATAGATTTCTTTTCTAAGGCTAAGGGTAATACATTATTGGTTCCTATGGTATGTCAATATCCAGTTTGTCTTGGATGATATTACTGTTTCTGATCTACTTGATGTTGCCTGGGTCACATAGTTGTTGCTATTAACAGAGTTTCTCTGTATGCCAATACCTGGATTACCTTTGTGACATTAACAACACTGCAGTCCATTCCCAGCAAACTGGGTCCTGGGCCAATTACCCTGCATCTCCTCTCCCATATTAACAGAGGTGATCAGATCTTTGGACAGAGGCAAAAGATTATAGTAAGCTATGCCCCAAGTGGGTCACTGTAAAGGAGAGTAAAGAGCTCTTCACACTGTCAACAAAGTCTTTCCATTATAAATGATGGCATATCTAAACACAAACCAAAACAAACAAATAAAGAGCAAGAAAAACATGAGAGGACAAAGCAACAAAATGCCTCCCCAAACTTCTACTCGCCCAAAGCTGATCCATGGGGGATAAGAACAAAAACAAAAGCCAAATTATTTTTGGAGATTAAAAAACAGATCAATGAAGTGCTTGGAGGGCTCACGGAAACTACAACTAATGAGATAAGGAAGGTAATAAAATAATCAGGGAGCTTACAACAGAAGACACTAATAAAAGCTAGCTGAGCTAAACAAAATGATACAAAACATGAATGAACATTTTAACAAATAATCAGTCCATGAAAAAGTTCCAAACAGAAATCTGGGAGATTAAAAATTATACTCAAAGGGG